GGGGGGGGGGGGCGAAGAATCGGAACGACAGCGAGGAGGGCTCAGGAGGGGGGCGATGCACTCGGGACGCCGATCCCCTCCCGCACGAGCAGGCCCGCAGACTCTTCAAGCTTGGGCATGGTCAGGTCCGGACGCGATCGGCGCCCCCGGGGCCCGAGAGGTGGCAGCTCGGGTGCGAGTGACGCCGCCATGTGATGAGCGACCCACATGTCTCCACCGGGGCGTGTTGGGCCCGTGCGGGACGAGCGGGGGGCTTTTGTTTCCGCGGTTCGTTCGCGCCCACCCCCGCCGTCCGCGGGCTTCTAGTGTCTATTCCGGGTGTTCGCATTTTCTCCCGCCCTTTGGCTGGCTGGCTGGTTGGGGGGGGGGGGGGGCTTCTCGCCACATTTCCCATGAATAATGGAATCATGACGCCACAAGAACGGCGCGTCGACCGGTATGTGTCCGCCCCATCGACTGGCCATCACTGTGCGCCAGCTCGCCCGGGAGGGGGTGTTTCTCGTTTCGCAGGGGGGGGGGGCCGGGCGGGGGACACTTGTTGTCCGGGCGTTCACGACCGGCTTGTACTCCTCCCGAAAGGGGCCAGGGGGGGCCATAATATGCCAGTCCAGACCGTCCACCAACCGATGCGGGTGCGTCCTGTGTCCAGCACACCGCGGCGAGGGCGGCGTACTACGTCCTCGGCCCAGCTGGGCTCGCCGGAGCCCGGCTCGGGTGGTCGTCACAGTGCCTTGTCCCCGGCCGCCGCCCCCCGGGCTGGACCGGGCCGGGCCGGGCCGGGAGGCAGGGAAACGCCCAGAAGCCGCGGTTGCCCCCCGTACCCTCGCATGCGACCTTGGCGTGAGCCCGCCGGCGCGCTCGCCACCCGGCCGCCGGGCAGAGTGACGCGGCTGTCGCTCATCACACGGGGGGGAGCGCGTCCGTCGCCGGGCTGCCGGAAGAATGCCCCCCGCCCTCGCCCTGTGCCCCGGTCTGCCAGGGGGCGGAACGGGGGCGGGCGGGGAGGGGGCAGGCCGCCACCGTCCGCTGTGGGTGTGTGTTTGTGTGTGCACAGCGGGTGTCCGCGGGCCAGCTGCCCTGGTGTGCCCTGCGCGGCGCCGCACACCCGCATATAAGTGCTGGCGCCTGCCACGCCCCGGCAGTCCGACGGTCCGATCACAAAGCATCTGCCCCCCTCCTTCGCTGCTGCTTTCATCCCCCCCCCCCACACTCACGTCATCATGGTCAAGATCGGTATCAACGGGTACGACCTCCTCCCCTCCCTGCCCCTCGCCCGCCCCAGCATCTGACACGCCTCCCCTGCCCCGCTGCTCGCCCCGACTCGCTGTCTCCAGCTTCGGTCGCATCGGCCGCATGGTCCTCCGCGCCTCCCTCAACCGCAAGGACATCGAGATCGTCGCCATCAACGACCCCTTCATCGACCTCGACTACCTGGTGCGCTCCCCCCCCAAACACCCACCACCACCCCGCACCACCACCACCCACCCACCCACCCATGCTGACCACCCAGACACCCTTGCGCAGGTCTACCTCACCAAGTACGACTCCACCCACGGCATCTTCAAGGGCGACATCTCCCACGACGGCTCGGACCTGATCGTCAACGGCAAGCACATCCGCTTCCACTCGTGCCGCTCGCCCGCCGAGATCCCCTGGGGCGCCACCGGCACCCAGATCGTCGTCGAGGCCACCGGTGTCTTCCTGGACAAGGCCTCCGCCGGGGCCCACCTGACTGGCACCGTCAAGAATGTCATCGTCACCGCCCCGCCCAAGGACGACATCCCCATGTTCGTCATGGGCTGCAATGAGGACACCTATGACAAGGCCACCATGCCCATCGTCTCCAATGCCTCCTGCACCACCAACTGCCTGGCCCCCCTGGCCAAGGTGATCAACGACAAGTTCGGCATCGTCGAGGGCCTCATGACCACCGTCCACGCCGTCACCGCCACCCAGAAGACCGTCGATGGCCCCTCCGGCAAGGACTGGCGCTCCGGCCGTGGCGCCGGCCAGAACATCATCCCCGCGTCGACCGGTGCCGCCCGCGCCGTCGGCAAGGTCCTCCCCGTCCTGGCTGGGTGCGTTGTGTTATTATTTGGCCGCCGGCCGCGGCGGCCCTCTCTGTCACCGCGCGCGCTCCCCCGGGCGCCTCATGCGCGGCGCTGCACACCACCACCCCCTCTCTAACTCTCGGATGTCCCCCCCCCCCCCCCCCCCCCGCCGCCCCCCATGACCGGCGTCCGGAAACCCACAGCAAGCTCACCGGCATGTCCTTCCGTGTGCCCACCCCCAACGTGTCGGTCGTCGATCTGACCGTCCGCCTGGCCACCCCGGCCTCCTACGAGGACATCAAGAAGGCCCTCCTTGAGGCTTCCCAGAACGAGCTCAAGGGCATCCTCGGCTACACCGAGGACGCCGTGGTCTCCAACGACTTCGTCGGCGACTCCCGCTCGTCCATCTTCGATGCCTCCGCCGGTATCTCCCTCAACGACAACTTCGTCAAGCTCGTCGCCTGGTATGACAACGAGTTCGGCTACTCCAGCCGTGTCCTCGACCTGGCGGCCCACATCTCCAAGTAAATGCCCGCCCAGGCAGGGGCGTCGTCCCCTCGTTCGGTTCCTCCCTCTCCCGCCGTTGGATAGGGGGGGGAGCGTCCGGCGTCGCGCACATGTGGCGCCTGATCGCCATGAAGCCCCAAGGGAAAAGCACCCCAAAAGGGGGGAGCAGGGAGAGGGGAGGCGGCGTGCAGTCAACACGCCGGCCCCTCTCCTCCTGCCGCGCCCCCTGCGCGCCGTGCGCTGTGCAAAGTTTGTCTCCCTGGCGGCGGCAGGCGGCGCACACACACGCCCACACGACCATTTTTTTACCCCCCTCTTCCTCAGAA